TTGCTCTCTGACAGCTTCTTTGCTTGTAATACCAAACCTACACAATGCTTGATGGGAAATGTTCAGAGAAGATGAATTAAGGAATAAACATAAAACAATGCTGTGGATTGGAATCCAGCTGAAATGTCAGCTGAATGCTGATTATGAACATTGTATCTCTATTAGAAATTGTTCTTAGGTAGGTAGGGACTCAAGGCAGGGAGACAAAAAGAAGGAATAAAATTAAGAATATAACGTGATAGGTGCTGAAAATGAGGTCAGCTGTCTGACAGTTTAGCTTTTATGATTGAAAAATAGGCTTTCTTTTCTGGATTTGTAAAAATTCTTGTTGCAAACCTCTGCAGTCCAAAACTTGTGTTCCAAGCTGAGGAGTAAGCTTTCAAGGAATTAATTGAGAGCATTGTGAGAGAAGAATCTGGGCAATACTGTGGTGGTTGTTGTTGTTGCAAATAATTTATAATGCACAATTATTTTCAGGAAATGCATTGTCAGCTCTTCAGATGTAGGAAGACCAAGTGCACTCTGTCACCTCTATTGAGCCAGTAAAGACCTGTGTGCTGAACAGTGTCCACCATAAATATGTCATGTCATACCTCATAGGGATAAACACTGTAATAGAAGAGCATCATTATAATGAGAAACTGATGAACAAACCCCTGCCACAATATGGCATGATCTTTCTTGATCCTGCTTTATTCTACAAGTGCACTCAAAATAATTCTGTAGGGGAAGAAATATACGTGCTCTAAAAAAGTAAACTGCTTAAAATACATATTGCATTTACAAGCTAAACCTTGGCCTTAGTGACTGTCTGAATTACTAGGGGCCTTTCCCCAGGAGGAAGGGAAAGAAAACAGTCACTGTGGTGAAACTATATGTTAGTGAATGATGCAAATACTGCTGCTTCATCCTCTGGGCTGAGCACATCCAGCAGGTTCCTGATCCCTGTTTGGGGGTGACAGAAGGTGGTAAGTCCATACCACAGTGACTCTCTACTCCTGTCTTTTCTGTATTCCTGATTTGTTTCCTCATGCCTTCTCTGGCACTGAAATCTGGGGGAATTACATATCCCACTCTTGTAGGACACAAAGGTGTGGAACTTTATTTGCAAATATAGTGATTATTTCTGAGGGTTTTTTTTCCTGTGAAGGAAACACATTCCATGACTTTCATTCTTGGCCAATGTAGATATTAGCTTCAGATGTATCAACATTTTTGCAGCAAATTTATGTAAAGCATCTTTGAAGGTATTTAAAAAAAAAAAAAAGCAAGCACTGAGTTTCCTGGTACAGGAAATTAGTAATAATTCTAACTTAGCACTTTTGCATTTTTAAGGATAGGAGGCTGGGCTAGAATGGCCCTACAGCATGGGAAGATGAAAAATGCTAGAGGCAGTTGGGTCCTGTGTGATTCCTTTGGAAACACTAAACAGGCATCTGTGAGGAGCAATATTTGAACAGTGTGCTTGAATGCACTTCTAATTTTAAGTGACTCTACCACTTTTCAAGTTGTCCACTAGAGAGACAGGAGGCATTTCTGAATATAGTGAAGTCTGTAGAGCAAGTAAGAATTTTTAAGTATCCCCTTCAGCTTCCATGTATGGCAGATAATGCCATTTGTATTGCAGAAAATATATGACATTACTTTGAAAATTGAAGAGAACAAACAGGGAAGTTTCACAGGGAAATAGCACCAGGAAGTCTATTATTACATTTGCATGAAACAATCTCCTGGGGTACTTGCAGTATTTATCCTGTCAATCAGTCACTCTAACCTTCGGATGCTCTTTTCAGTAAGGTATCTGTTTTCAAAGCGAGGGATGAAAATGTTGCTTGGCTGAGTGGATCAAAGTTCTCTGTAATAAAGGTAGATTTAATTTAACAGGAAGCAAGAATGTGTTACAGAAAGTAGTGTTTTCTTCTGCCCTGATTCCTTGTCAGGTAACATAGTAGTCCAGATCTGAAGAGTTTGTGATCTACTCTATGAAGGCAAAGTAGAGGCTGAGCAGTGAGAAGTGATCACTTGGTAAATGCAGTGTAGTGTTTCCTGTGTCTCCTCACTGGTCATGGAATGATAGGTCACAAGATTAAAAGATGTAAATGGTCTGGGCTCAGTATATATTCCATCTGCCCATTTTGAATAGATTCTTCCTCTTGCACATTGAGGAAATTAAAACAGAAATAACTCTCTTGATGAGCTACTCAATCCTTACAAGGACTGAGCAAGTCGATCACACAGAACTGGATGGCAGTGGAAAAATAGTGTTCTTAACCATCCCTTGTAAAACAAAAAGAGTGATGGAAGGGAGTGTGTGTCTCCTGCTGGATACTTTATTTGCTCAGAAATTTCTCTTGCTAACTTGCTTTTTTCCATTCATGCAAGTATTATCCTAGGATTCATAAATAAGAAACAAACCAGTTTATATGGTGATTGTAAAGAAGGAAGAAAATATCTAGGCTGATCTCTGCTGACATGTGTTTATAGCATGCAGTTCAAAGCTTGGAAAAAATTCCTGGAGAGATTTGACTATGTAAATATTTGTTAGCTGCCAGATTTGAAATGAAGAGAATGCAACAGGTCAAATCCTGAAACATTAACATAGTTCTTTTAAATAAGCTCTGAATGGGTAAACTTAAACTTGACCATCAATGGATTGGAATATCTTATATTTTTAAATCTCCTTTCCTGTCCTGTGTGCTCATCACAACTCCTTAAAATGTTGCTCAAAAATCCACATTTCCTCTGGAATTATTTCTGCTGATTTGCAATAAGTTTCTGAGGGAGGAAAAAACCCCACCCCACACTAGTTTTGTGATGAAGCTGGAATTAGCAAAGGGCTGTAATCTTTCTTCAAAGGTAAGGATTTTGGCTCCATAAAACATACTCTGATATTCTTAATAATGAGAGACAGGATGCACTGAAGTGAGAAAAACGAAAATCAGTTACAGTGAAAATTTAAGTAAATCAGCTAGCCCAGGGCTGTCCTATTTTTGCATTTATTTTCATCAGCAGTCTTGTTAAAAAATAAAATTTCAAATAACATTTTTAGTGGTTAAGTCCTCACCGGAATATGTAAATGTTCTCATTTCATCTGATCTCATTCGTTAAAATACAAAATCAGATTCTTGGTGTGACATGCTTGAAAATTGTTTTTTGTAGCCTTGGATTACCTTCTTTATGTTTTTATATACACAAAGGCTACAAAACTAATGGTTTTAGTTCAGTTATGCAGTTCTGTAATAGATTTTTATTATTTTTTCAATCCATTGTCCTAATTAAGTGAAATAATCAGTGTTTTTTTAGATTTATATTATAAAACTGTAGGAATAATTTAATAAGCTTGGAAATACTTAGATTTAGAAATAAAATTGTACAAATGTATTCTTTATACAGAATAAAAAAAATAAGATTTGCCATTTTCTTTCGATTCCCAGGCCATGCAGTTTTCTTCAGTGTTTCAGACTATTTATCTTACAGAAATTCTTCATGTTGCATAAGAACTATGGCAATTTTTGGATGCTATTTTAAAAACAATTTGCAGAGAAGTGTCTCACCTGCTCAGAGACTATTCATCAGTTTCGAAGAGTGTTAATTTTATACCTGATCCCAAGCACCCAGCAGCACATGGCACAGCCACCCTGTCACCAGTGGCAGGGTTACTCATACACTGTTTACCTCCTACCTGATTTGTGTTTGGTACCATCTACTGGCACAAGAAGTTCCCTCACAATTACTCATGCAAGGAAGTAAATGTCTCTCACATTAAAGTGCCCACAGTCACAACAGTAGAGAGAATACATTCAAAGGCAGATAGGGGTAATGTTAACCCAGCAAGTAGGTATAATGCTGATTAATTTGCTGGTTAAACAAAGAAGGAATGTGAGTATGTGGACAAACTACACTACATGTGTACCGCCTTGAGGTTTCTGACTTGCTAGGTCTTGTTTCCTCAAATTT